GTTCTTCCAGACTATTCTCTAAGCCTGTGCCAAATTTCATGGTGATCCGTTCAGAAGTTTGGGCTACAAACTATAACAAACATCCATCAATCCATATATTCTTTCGCATTTATTATATTAGTAAGATATGATAACGGTTAATAAACGCATTCATATTAATTTAATATAATAAAATGTTCAATTAATAAGCAAGCATTATTGCAGTCGTCAAATGTAATTACGGCCTAATAGCAAAACATTCGTTTCGAATATAAATCGTTTATTACGAGATAAACAGTTTGAGGCAAAGAGATTTAAACATATAGAGGAGGCAGCATCACTAACTCTATCTATTGGTAGATCCTCAAAAACAAACAATATAATTGTTTTTAAATTAAGTCTATAATTTACTTTTTTACGCTTTTTTTTATTTTTAAAAATAAATTGTAACATGTCAATACAAGGACATAAAGTGGCACTAAACTTGACAACTGATATAGTACCGTTCAGTGAAAGTACCGATAAAAATTGTTATGTCTCGTCTAAATATTATTTAAATGTCTATGGTTTTAGAGTTTTACCCGAGGGTATAATGGAAACAAAATTATTGAACATTAACAAAAATAATATGATGATAATCATTCACTTTAATGGAAATGCTAATTTTCGCTGCCGTATTATTAAAGTCATTTTGTGGGTAGTTATAAAAGCTGTGATTTAATAATTAGCCTATATTTCGTACATGTAATAAATATGTTTAACTATGGTTACTACTTTGTCGAACAATTTTCACTGTCACTAAATTTCTTGACATAAATATTGAAGGAAGCGTATAAAAAACTTCTTTCTAAAGAAAGCAGACTATACGTGGTTTATTTGATCGGAATTGTCAAAATAAATCTTTATTTCTTAAGAATAGATTTCACCCGCGACTCCGTTTGCGTGGAATTAAAAAAAAGAAAAGTAAATAGCCTATGTATTCTTCCAGAATGTACTCAATATCTTAGCCAATTTTCATCCAGATCCGTTTAGTCGTTTAGGCTACAAACTAACAAACATCCATCTAAACTTTCGCATTTATAATATTAGTATGATCAATTACAATAAAATATAGTACAATATACAATTAATAATTGCAGTTTGACATTCACATCAAATCTAAGTTAAACATTAAGATAAGTCATCCGGAACTTAAGCATTAAGCTTAGCAACCGTTACAGCGAGCTAAGTCAAGCCGAAAAACCGTTGCCGGGATAACGGACAGCTCGTAAAACATAATAATGCCGTATTCAGTATTACTATGACATAATCTTCATGTCTATATATTTTATTATGCAATACTATAAGCATATAAGTGAAATAACTTAAGTATTTTATGACATTGATTAAAGCTGAAAGTTGTAAAATGTTTTAAATCTATTTATAACTAGAGATTGTAAAGTGTGGAGACAAAATCCTTTATTAAACTTGGTTCATCACCTCCTTGTTCACCACTTTATGAGGGGATTTATCTTCCGTTTTTTATTCGTCATTTTATATAGACTTGCTTATTTTATTATGTTCATTATAATAAAAACAGAACAGCGTTTACTAACACACAACTTTGACAAAATTCTTTTACAACTGTTATGCGATTGTCGATTGTTTCAGTCAATTCAACTTTTTAGTTACACAGCTAACAATCGTGTATTGTACCTCCATATAACCACATAGGAATCAAAGTTACTAAATAGTTATGCGATAGTTTAGTCCGTGTCCGCGCTCTTAGATAACTTTACAAGTTATATTGACATGCTTTAGTTTTATTTCCCCTATTGACTTACACCCGGAAGATATTTACGTGGGCGATATCGGCCAAGGCATCAAAAATCGAAGAGAATAAACATTGATTGTCACTTACTCGACTCACATTCCGCACAATGACTGGCAAACGATGTGACATTAAAAAAAGAATTCGCAAATTGAATGCTTTCGCAAAAAGCACAGTTAAACGAATCGTAGCTTCCGAAAGCATAATAAGAAATACATTTAATACTGTAATACAGTTGCTTTAAGGTTGAATTTTGCTTGTTACTTGCGTGCATGCAACCGTTAAACAAATTTGATATATTACGATGGAAATTTGACAAATTGTCGCACAAAAGATTTGACTTTTTGTTGATGCTGAGGAAATTTGTTTCATTTCCTTTTTGTGTGGTAAATGTATTATTTCTTTGTGTCGTAGAAATTATTGACAATCAGTGATATTTTCTTTTACTTTTGATAAAATAGATTTTGTATTGTAATTGAATATTGGTTTAACTGAATAATTATGGTGATTTATTTAAAATATCAGAATAACATTGATTTTTAACTTAGTTAAAAATTCAATAACTTCAACCACTTAACACCAAGCGACCTTTTTTAAAAATTTCAAAACCTGTTAAAAAAACGAATCAGATTTAAAATGTAGTGACCAGGGCAGCATAGATGGGAAAGTCATTCAATACAAACATAGGCACTTTCGTTCGCGCATTACCGGGTCGGGGGTCACGCCCTCGAAGTGTCAAGGCTGACCGCCGGCCCCCTGACCTTTATTGCTTTATGATAGCCTGGTACCATCACCTACATTACAACGAAAGTTCTACGAAAGAACAAACTTTAAAAAGAAGCTGTTTTCATCGCAATCTTAATCGGTCCCTAATTGAAGGTTTAGTGTAGATTTTGCTGTGCTTTTGTATCGTGTTTTGTATGAAATTGTAGCCTCCACCGAGGCAATTTATCTAGGCGGTTATTCTAAACATTATTACTTACAATTTTCGCACGGCCCCAATTCCGTGTGGCTCAGTAACATACATTCGCCTGCATTGTTATGTTAGCAACACTAACTGCAACATTGTCCACGTTATTAAGAATCGTTTTAGGTCAATAGCTGAAAAGATTCTAATAAAAAAGTATAAAATATAGAAATGATAATTTAATTATCGGATATTATAACTTTTTCTCATGAATCACCTGAACTTGAATTTCATAGTTTCAGAACAACTGCAAAAGTATACAAACTGTTATTAAAAATTATTATTAACACCAAAATCACGAAAGCCCTTTATTGCTAGTTATTTAATGTATTTTCGATTTAATTCTCTAAAGATCTCCCTTCCGATAAATGAAATAGTTGAAAGTATAAATCGTGCGCACAATGTGGGACGGAGAAAATCTAGACGCAAACATAAACAATCTCCTAGACGTAGACAATACATAATTTATGGTAAATAGGGTCGTCGTTCAATTAAAATGCAGGGATGGCCATCTTAGATAGAGTTTGTTTATGGTAAACTAATAGAGGGAAAAGTGGCAGCAAAATTGTTGGCATAGTAAGCAAAAGCTATAGAAGAGAGTGCATTATGTATTAATGTAAAAGTTTTACTGATGTTATAATAAGTAAATGAAAACCCTTCGCATTTTAAACCCAGAAAAGAGTTCAAAGGATTTGAGGGCTGGCGTTATCATACTAGTAATACTAATTTGATAAATACGAAAGTTTAGATGGATGGATGTTTATTAGAGTTTGTAGCCTAAACGGTTGAACGGATTACGATGGAATTTGGCATAGACATAGTGGATTGTCTGGAAGAACACATGGGCTACTCAGTTTTAATTTTTTAATTCCACGCGGACGACGTCGCGGGCGAAAGATATTATAAAATAATTTAAAAGGGTACAAAGGTACATGCTCATTATTATTGCTATCTTCTTATTGCATCTTTAACAATACAATTTGCGAATTATTTACCGGATAACAGTGACTGCACTCGGTGCAGACGACTTCCTCTGCCCACCGTCCCGCATACCACGCTCGTCTCTAACTGCCACTTCCTATTTATGTCATCCTAGTACTTTTTCTTTTTAATACTGTGTTTTTTGAGTTTCTACTACTTAAATACTTGTATAAAAACATGTTTCTCTACATGTAAAAATAAAAAATTAAAACCGACGGCTATCAGTTACTAACTAAAGTAGATCAAATCCTTAACTTAGGTGTAAAACGTCACTTACGAGTATGTCCGTGTTAGTAGTAAAAATACAACTTACTAGCAATAAGAGAAAAACTTTAAAAACTTAAATGTTAAGCTTATCTTGTAACATGTTTTATGTTTGGGTTTTAATTATTTTAAATTTTAATGTGCCTACCTGATGGGTAACTTCTCAGAAAGTTTGCCGTATTCAGAACAGGGCAATCTGAGAAGGGTTGACTTAAAGAATTAGACAGTAATTTTATATGCAGTGACTACTTGTTGCCTTTTTTAGTTTTATATCCATTAGGGAAATGTTCGACCATAAATAAGCTAAATCATTGGTTTTAACTGATAAATAATTTAATTACTTACGTAACAAAACATAGAGCGTGGATTGCTTAAGGGTTTAAGGTAATTTGCAATCCTGGGTTCAAATCCTGCCATGTGCTAAACTGGTTTTCGAATTTGAAGTACATAATTTACCCGATCTTAAGGTGAAGGAAAACATCGTGATGCAACCTTCACATATCGTCTAAGAAATTCAAATTTCAGTGGGCCAGCGTGGTTAACTATGGCCCTTAACTTAGGGTAGGCTCTTAGCCTCAGTGGGGACGTATAGTGAACTGATGGCTTAACAAAATAAACGGAGAGTCAGATTTTTTAAAGTTTTCTTCACGGAGAAAGTACAATGTGTGTAACACTTTACCATGTCAGTTGTGATTTGTGATCGAGACGCGAATGAAGGCATTCGATGCGCCGGAACTAATTTTGACTCACTCTAGTTTTAAATTCACCTACTTTTTGTATTAACTGTGACTTATGCAGATTGCTTCGGAATCCGGATCTCAGCGTTTTTACTATTGAATAATGTTGTTATACTTGTTTATCCATTTAGTAACATAACATGTTGTATAGCATGTTTACTATAATAATGATAATCTTATCCGATTTCATGAATTTACATTATTTTCTTATTGTTTTTGTAGTAATTCAAACTGTTGTTTTAAATTTTTTTTTTTGTTCCAGACTTCGAACATGGACGACTGAATTGCAGGAACAAGTGTGAAAGTTCAAATAAGTGAAGTTAATAATAATAAGTGTAACATTTTAATATTAGTGAAGATGGAGTCGAGATTGCATGTATTTGCTGTGGCGGCAATCATTATTATGGGTGAGTACTTAGTTAATTAACAAAATCCAAATTTAGATACAGAAGTATACTCTTTTGTGATTTTATAGAGATTGTAAGGATTTGAAGATACTTCACTTTTAAATAAAAAAATGAGGACTTGTTTTTGTTAACCAAGCTTCTTTTGTAGTAATTTCGAGTCAGCGTTGTTATCAATAAGTGCGTTTTATGTTAAAATGTTTTAAGTTATCTCGAGGTATTATTAGACAAGGGTTGGTAGCAGCACGTTCTAAAAATATAATAAAAAAAAATTGACTAGTTGTTCCCGTGCGGCTTCATCCGCATGAAATTATAAATACTTTATTTTGTTGTTTACATTTGTCAAATTCTCAATTGAAAATGTCAAAATACCAATTACCTTGCTATGGCAATCTTGCTGTCTTGATGTTGGCAGCAACTTATGGTCTCTTTCCCACATTAGGGTTTTTATCCAAAACAACCCACTAAGTTTAATGGCGTGAAAATATATAGCCTAAAACGTGACGTAAGTGTAGGGATTTTTATTAATAAAGGAGTTATTCAAAAATATGCTGTAATTGCTGACATCTTAGGCAACAAATAAGTGTGTGTTTACGTTTTATTATAATAGTATAGATTGTGGACAAGGTAATTATTGGGATATATTATAATATTATATTTAATAGCAAATGACGTTTAACTACTGCCATTAGTCAGTTCCGTTGAACATTCGAATTTAATTAATTTAAGTCGACTGAACGTTTATATTAACAGCGAGCACTGCAATTGTTTTTTTACTTTCTACGCTTAGGTTGGTGGTACACATAGATGAACTTTTTTTTAGTAATAACGTTTAAATATTTCTAATAAGAGTAAGAAATTAAGGCTTCAGTTTTTTGCTTTTGTTGTTGATAAATCAAATGTTTGTTTAAGTAGATGTGTTTTTAACAAAAGGTTTGTAGTGTAATTTGAATAGAAAATAAATACCGCTCGTTGTATCGCAAACTTTAATTGTTTCAGTCTGATTGACAGACCCATTGGTGGTTAATGGCGTCTAATATCCGTCCGCGGGATCGATGATCTATAGATCTATGATCGATAGATCGTTTGACCGTCGGCGAACAGTAACGAGTTCCGACAAACACTAGTTATGCTTTTAGAAATGACTGCTTTCATCAATCACAACTCTATGGTCATTTGTGAAGATTAATTTGTATACAGGATGTATTTTTTTAAGAAATAAAGATTTTAATAAATGAGACAGGTTATACGAGTATATTTTTTAATTATTTATTCGATTAAGAACTTTATTTAAATTAAAAATTGAATAAACTCGACTCTATTCTTTAGATCACAGAAGTTAGTTCTTTAACCTGTCTAAAAATTTCTTAACATACGGACAAAATAAACAATTTCACTTATTCTACATAAGCTCTAACCATTGTAATATATCCATAAATATGTCTGTTCAGTGAGCGATGACGAGCGTGTTTTTATACCGTTCTTCCGCCAGTGTAAACCAACACTAAACGAGAATGTCGTGTCAGAGCGGGCGGTGACTTATCACATACTATCACGTATGCTGCGTTACACTGAACCTGTTTTTTTTTTCGCTCGCGAATAAACTTAGCGGTACCTTAATATACAGGATGATTTTTTATATTTAAATTTAAAATTCCAGTCTCAGAATCTTTTTTAACTAATTTCTGTATATGTTAAATGTATACAATTAAATAAGTAAAAAACAATATATGCTCTGACGCATGTATATGGTATTATAAGAATTGACCTTTCTTACTTTTCAATTTTACATAATACAGCACTAATAAAAAAATTCAATTGTCACAAAAAAAAATTCTGTTTTAAATGAAATAATATAATTACATGTAGATTCTTTTATGTTAATAAATATTTATAACTTTTACGTTATTAAATAAAAATAATAGTAGTAAAAAGAAACATACTGTAGAGTTCGGCGTAGCGCCAAATGCGCATCACATCGTTAAGCGCCAACCCACATAGCAGTTTTATCCTTAAACTACATTGCGACCGAACACGAGAAAGTGGACGGTTATTACGGGAAATTAAAACATATTTAAAGCGAAACAATAAAACAACGGTTATCTCTTTTCTTCCGCTAGTTTATATCTTCCATCTCTTTCATGTACGTTTAGCGCGTGACGTGACCTTGAATTCACTTTCGATTTGCTTCCAGTAATTAGATGTGATCGCATTTTGTTTTACATTCTAAATCAAAGTTAATTTTTTAAATATTATGACTAGTATGTTACTGTTTTTAAGATATTCCATATTTAATACCGTAATAAAGTGGAACTATCAAGAAAAACTAGTTAGTAAAAAAGAATTATAGATATAATCTTTTAGACAGTACAAATTTTGACAGCTGTCATTTCGTTTGTAATGCTCATCAATATGACATTTGACAACCACCTGATGATGCAATCGTTACCGGTTTTACGAATTAAATTTGAATTTAGATGAAATTTAAAAGTATATTCAATGTTATCTCTGTCACGTTCGTTTATGGTAATAAAGAAAGAGATAGCATTCTAGATGTCACGCCGTGAATTCTGAAATCAAGTACTATCGTTTCCTATTCTCCGTAAAAACTAGTTGTTTTACTAAAGTTCTTTTATAAAAAATTAAATTAAATCTAATGTAATTCAATTATTGCGTTATTTTCTAGACTATTCTGATTATTTTAGAAATAAAGAAAGAACGAAATTTGTTAAAACAAAAAAAATTTAACCGTTTATAAAAATAACTGGTTCGAATTTTGAATTTTAAAAAATCAAGTTTGTCAACAGTAACACAGATGTTAAGATAGATGGCGGCACTACAACCATCTGGACGACATTCCTGTTATACATTAGTGACTCCTCATATTTTGATATAAAAAGTTTCTCTGTGCATTACCCGGTTACCGGTACATATAAAACAAACTGTTTCAATAAATTTAAGTTACTTCAAACGACAAAACAATGCATATTATTACAAATATGCAAATAGCCTAGTTAATTTTTTAGGTATATAACTATTTTAACAAAACTATTGTCTTTCGAAATATCTTACCAACTCGAAGTAACTCGTATCAGTGTGACAGATAATTGTCCTGATAAGGAACAAAGCTCGACTCTTCACAATGCCACTTAGACAGAAACCATTCTATGCATATGAAATGAAAATGTAGAGTGACCATAAAGTTTAAAATATTTTAGGACAGTCCCAAAAGCTGTAGATGTCTTATTCTCTCTTGTTAAATATTCCCAATGTTATTTTCTATCTTAGTTGATCGCACTGTTATACTAACTTTGAAATATATTAATCAAACGTTATCTAATCAAATGTCTATGTTACGAGATTTGAATTTTATACTTTAAGAAGTGTGGTCACAATAGTTTGGACAACACATAACGACGTACATATTCGTATTCAATTAAATTGAAATGTGATATTAAAGGCATCTAAATTAAGGTCTGTCAATCTTATGTCATTATAATAAAAACTCGATAACTTCATACATTTTTGTACGTTCAAGTGAAATTAGGTTCATGTGGTTGATTACTTTGGGTTAATGGATTTTGAATACATATGATTTGCGGTCAAATAACAGGTAAGGGCAACCGAAATGTTTAAGAATTACACTTTGAACAATCAACGGTTTCGAGGAACGAGATTTTCGATACATCCTGTAGTTACAAAGGTTTCATTTTTCATTACGTACTTTTAAAGTAAATGTTTTTTATTTAATTACACTTGGCACAAAAATAACTCATATTGTAATCAGCGATAAGAATTCTTATAATTGTAACGAGATGTAAAAAATCTCAAACTACCTACTAAATTCACTAGTTTTATAACTAGGAAGTCTTTTAGTAACCAAACGGAATAAAAGAGTTTAAGAAAGTACTAATACAGGGTGTACTAAAATAATTCAGTTACCAAAGACGCCATTAATTTAAGAAAGTAGAAATATAGGGTGTACTAAAATTAGTAAATTGAATACAACTTATATCCAGATACGGTAAAAAAGAGATATTGATATGGACGTTGTATAGAGTAAGTGGGACAGATGCAGTACCGTAATCGCTCCAGATGTGAGTTTCTCGGTAGAGACAATTTCGAGTTACGAAACAGGAAACACGCACGCGAATATCTCAGATTTAAACTGGGATAAACAATTCGGACATATTTTTAATCTGCCGACGTTATGGCCATATCTAAACTATTATAATAAAGGGTAAACACACACTTCTTTGTTGCCTAAGATGTCAGCAATTACAGCATATTTCTGGATAATTCTTTTTTTAAAATAAAAAGCCCTACACTTGCGTTATGCTTTAGGCTATATATTTTAACGCCATTTAACTAAGGGGGTAAATATTTTTGGTAAAAACCCTAATGTGGGAAAGAGACCATATGTTGCTGCCAACATCAAGGAAGCTGGGTTGTCATCGTGTCATGTCATTTTGACATTTGTAATTGATAATTTGACAAATGTAAACAATCAAATAAAATTTTCATATTTTCATGCGGATAAATTTGAATTCCCTCAGATCCTTTAATCAAACAACTCCAATCTTTGTTCTGTGGAAAATATAGTTTATACAGGATGTATCCAAATTCAACGGACAATCAACATATTATGTTAAACGGTTAGCAATAATTTTATGAAAGTTAAAACATTGTTCGTAAAGAGTTGTGGTAGTTATAAAGTAAATAGGTCGTAACAATGTTGGAAATTTCCAGCGGCGGCTAGCCCGCGGGCCGCTGTAATCGAAGGCATCTTGCGGCCCTTCACAATTCGCACCCTGGCGATAATTCGAAGAAAGCATGTTACACTTCTCGTTTCCAATATGGTTGTTACAATCAACTGTTATTACTCAATTTTGAAGTGCAAACGAGTTTTATGTTTGTTAAATGTTTATGTTATCAATATGATAAGTGACTTAAAAAGATTTTCGCTTAGCGAGAAACTAATGTTGTAAAACTCTTTACTTACT